CTCTCTCTCTCTCTCTCTCTCTCTCTCAAGTTGTTCACAAAATAAAACATCATCTTAAAAAGAAACAAAAAGAATTCTGCTACCACCAACAAGTCCTCTTTTTCAACACCCACTGGTACCATCAGCATTAGGTAATTCCACAAATTAAGCACTGCCTAAATGAGCACATACAACTTGCATATATCAAATGTGTAACAAGTATCATCATCATACAGTGCCTTGCCGACTGACGTAGGCGATCATGGACCTCCACTTAACTCTGTCTTGCGTTGCAGCAATGGTGTCTAACAAGTATACAAAATAACAAAACAGCAATAGAGCTTACCTTATTTTCAGCATTGCCTTTACACGGGGCGCTGTGCTTGCTATAACATTTCTTGTGGCAAGCCAGTTTACACACTGGGGAACAAGACAGGCAGCAGCTCAATACGTTTACAAATAGAAGAAAGATGGAAGAAATATCATACATCATACTAAACTTTCAATATTTGCAAGCTGTCTCTTATATCAAAGATAACCATGGAGATGGTATTTGTGGATAAAACCCTTAGTGACCATCTGGGACAATGGCTGCTGCTTACCTTTGTTAAAAAAAATTGTACCTGTCACTTTTAGAAAATTTTACTTGTAAATTATATATTTTTTAAATTGTTTTCACTTCAATTCAGCAAATGTTTCGAAAACAAGGACTTTATGGAAGGAAACATGGACAGGCGTGTTTAGGGGCACACTTCAGTGTGAGTACTTTTGTCTCTGTTCCTGAAGAGAGTGACGGGGTCACACATATATTTATCAACGGCCACAAAGCTGTTAACACTTTACCATCACAAAGCTCATATATAGTTTTTTAAAAAAACCTTGCCATCAAAGGCAACGGCATTTGGGGGAAAATCCAAAGAAACTGGGTGGCAAACATTGCCAATCAGCGAGATGTGATGGCAAAGTGTTAAATAAATAAATAATAAAATTCCACTTTTACTGATCCCTGTGGGGAAATTTCGTTTACAATGGCGAAAGAACACATACATAAACACTGTACACAATATGTGTTAAAATATTTTTTTAATTGCCACTTACCCTGGCAGACATAACTCCTGTCTAGGATCCATATCAAGGAGGTGCACACTTCACAGAAGGTGGTGATGCTGAACTGCATCTGCATGTACTTGTGGCCATTGTATTCCTTCACACAGACACAGAAAAAAGTTGTATTTTAGTTTTAGTAAGTGTTTTACGGCACTTGCAACACAATAAGGTCATATATGTGCCGAAGATTAGAGGTGTTTCAAGAGAGTAACAAAAACAAAATAGAAGTAGAGGAGATAAAGATGATAGATGTTTGATAGGAAAGAAAGGGCAAACCACACTAGAGCACCTGCCAATCACCCACAGACACATAAAAAGAGAGGGGGGGGAGGGGAGAAGGGGAGAAGAACTTACTTAATACAGTCAAAATAGTCCTGGACAACCTTCGTTTTTGTTTGAGTAAAGAGAAGCACATTGACACAATAAAGGTCATTTAGTGCTGGGAAGAAGTAAGACAGACAGACAGGAACAACAGAGGGGAAAGTTAAGAAGTAGGACCTACCAGTGGCGCCCCCCAACCACCCACGTTACTGGATTGACGACAACAACAACAACAACAGCAGCATGGGTTAAAGATTTTAAATCAGGCGTACATTGATGCATACACAAACGTTTACGGCACTCACTATGATATCTTGAGTCTTCTTGTGTTTTTCTCTCTTCAGATTCTTCTTCTCCATCCTCCGGTCGTCCTTCTTGTTCTCTCGCTGCCGGAGCTCCTGCTGCTTACGAAACTCGTCCAGGAAGCCTCGGAATGCGTTGATCGACATGACCAGGGGCGCGTTCGTCTGCTCTCGCTTCATCTCCGCCTCCAACACCTGACGGAACTGCTCAAATAGGTCTCGGTACCGCACCAGCGGCGAGTCTTTCTGTGAACACCACAATAAATTAGGGATGAACCTTCTGAGTAAACGTTTTATAGCATATCATGTCAAGGATTAAGCCCTCTGACTAAACATTTTATAAGTTACCATATCGAACAGATCTCGCTAGCAAACCATTGGTGTTTCTTTCTGAGAACACCACAATAAATTCAGTATAAATCCCTAAATCAAGTTTTCTTTCTTTGGAAAATGTAGGTGATTTTACACTCTTATCATCCCAATTTAAATGATTTAGGGGGCGGGCTTAGATTCTGCTCTCTCCACTCGGGAATAGAACTAGGGCCTCCTACACGCAACAGTTAGGAGCCTAACCACTACACCACAAAAGCTGTTTAACCCTCTGATTAAACATTTTGTAGGGAACGATATCAAACCTCAACATTTTATCATAAACAATTATAGTATATGACATTCATATTGCGCTCAACCCGGATTTAAGCACACAGGCTCTCAGCACTTTACAATACAACAGCAAAACACAAACAGTGCATTGCGTTCTGATTACAAATCTATCTCTCTCTATCTCTCTCGTTGTTAATCTAAAAATAGCAATGACTTTAGCTCACATACATTTGAATAAATACAAAGATTTGATCTGCCTTAAACTATGGGGAAAAGCATTATAGACAAATATACCATCAGTTAACAGAGGTGCCAACTGGAAACGAAAATAAATCCAGAACTTTTCAGAACCCATATGAGCGTGCCTGTGGGGACTCAGCACTTAAGGATCATTTTGTCCAACACATATCATATCAAGACTGACTTACATAAAGTTCAACCAATTCTCAATGACGGCCTGAAGTCAGACAAAATTCGGCCAGTTACAGGAATCTAGATTTCCAGATTAATCCAATACCTTTGAGTCAAACATGAACAAGTAGAGAGTGGCAGAAGAAACTGTCTCAACTTACCCCAACCTCAATGGCAATCACAGACTTGAGATCTTTCCGGAACTTCTCTAAGGCACCTTTGAAGATACGGTCAAATATGGTGTAGCGCCTGTTCCCCGTTGTATCTCCATAGAGCTCTCGTTGCTGTCAAGGGGAGAGAGAGATAAATACAACAACAGTAATAATAATAATCATAATAATGACAATGACGAGGAGGAGGAGAAGAAGAAGAAGAAGAAAAAAAGAAGACATAAATAAATTAATTAATTAATAATAATAACAATAATAATAATAATAACATAACAAAAAATAGCATTTATATAGCACACAACCTTGCTCAACAGAAAGCACTTTGCATTTTACAATCCACAATGGACATAATTACCTCCACAGAACCGAGAACATTCAAAAAGCATTCTCGGCTTCCTGAGAAACATACAGTGCAAACTGCCAATTAAGAGCTCAAACATTAACGAACTGATGAGCCTTCAAAATAATGAAATCGAAGAAATGGGCATCTTTCCTCCAGTTCAGCAATTTTTATTGAATTTTTGTTTTTTGGCTCAACACCTTTCACGTTTATATAAAAACACATGTCCATGTGAAGTATACTGGTAAAACCTTGATTAAGGCCCAAAAATGTGTACTTTTTCAGTTTTCAAGGACTCCCAAGCTATTTAAGTCACCAAACTTTGGTGGACAATTTCTAGCTAATTTTACCACTGACCACACCTCCTTCAATCGCAAATATCTCAAATGCCATCCCAGATAGACTTTTCTTTTTTTAATTGAAAAACATGCAAAGCTAATTAAGAACAGATCTATACCAATAACTTCACAGGCCCAAAAATGATGAGCGCTCCATTCCCCACGTCATGACACACTTTTCTTTCTGTATAGAAGGCTCCACGTTCCATGAACCCACCTTCTGCTAGATAAACTCTCGCATGAGAGGAACTCACCTTCTGCTAGATGAACTATTGCACGAGATGAACTCACCTTCTGAGAGACGAACTCTTCTGCTAGATAAGCTCCCATGAGATGAACTCTCACTCGAGATGAACTCACCTGCTACGAGATGAACTCTCGCACGAGATGAACTCTCGCACGAGATAAACTCACCTTCTGCTAGATAAATTCTCGCACGAGATGAACTCACCTTCTGCGAGATGAACTCTCACTCGAGATGAACTCACCTGCTGCGAGATGAACTCACCTTCTGCTAGATAAACTCTCACACGAGATGAACTCACCTTTTGCGAGATGAACTCGTCCAGCAACCGGAGCTCCAGGACGTCGGTGATGACCAAGTTCTCAGCGTACTGCCACTCCGTCGACCGCGCGACCTTCATGTTGCTGCGCGACTGAGAGCTGCAGCTCGGGGACGAGGCGTTGTCCGGACGGCGCGTCTTTTTCTTCCGCCGGCCGCGATGATGCCAGTGGGACCGTTCGGTGACCGGGTAGCTGTTGTGGTCATCTTCTTGAGGATGAGGAGACTGCTGTTTGCCAGCGATCACATTGATCGGGGGCACTGTAGGTAAGGACAGGGTGGGGAGTACGCTGACGCCCACTGGGAGGGGGGAAAATCAGACATGGAAAGAGTTACATTTTTTTCCTCCATTACACTTTGCCATATTGGCTCATATAGTAAAAACCCTTGCCATCACAAGCATTTTGGGGAAAATCCAAAGAAACTGAGAGGTAAACATCGCCGATCGACATTTGGTGACGGGAGTGGAAGTTCAGTGTTGTTGCTGATCGGTGAGATGTGACGGCAAAGTGTTAAATATAGATGGTTTTTTACACCCCCATCGACATAATTTAAGAAGAAGAAGAAGAAGAAGAAGAAGAAATAAACAACATTTGGAAAGCCCATACCCTTTGACAGCAAGCTCTATGCCCCAGCATACCCTATAACACTCAGAAAGATTCTCAGCTTCCGGGGAAGCATACAGTGCAAGCAGCCGATTAAGCGTTCAAACCATTAACAAACTGATATGATCTTTCACTGTCTATAGCTCGGTACCCATTCTCACCAGGGTGAAAAGAGGAAAATTCGAGTGAAGTGCCTTTCCCAAGGACACAACTTCGGGCCCTTGACGGGATTCAAACCCACAACCTTACGGTTGCGAGTCCGAGAACCTAACCACTAGGTCACTGGTGCCGAAAATTTAGGTCATTCAGGAGGCAGGCTTCCAACCCTGCCTGTCTCGCTAATTGAACCTCTACCAGCAAGCAACCCCAACCTCCTTCAACAGCAAAAATCTCAACTTCTATTCAAGACAGTTGGATATATTTTTCACCAAAAGCAAGACAACTGACCAATCTTTAAGACTTGACCAATAACTAAATCCTGTCCTGACACATACACAATGTAAGTCACTCTTCCTTACTACAAACTGTAACCAAGGCATTTAAGATTTGAATCATTTGGATTGACATCACTCAAAAAAGACCTCTGGCTGATTTCTAAAAATATATTGCTGAGTGGTTAGAAACTGTCATTAGAGATAACATTCAAAAGTGCAACAAATCCTTTGTTTTAGTAAAGTTAGAGTGTAATGGCATTTGCAACATAATCGTTCGTATAAGCGCCAACAATTGCAGGTGTTACTAGAGAAGTACAGAGAGAAAATACGGAGGAGAGATAAGGACGATAGATGTTTGAGAGGACAAAAGGAGGAAACCATACCAGAGCACCCACCAACGACCCCCTTAACAATTTGTAACAGAAATAATATCAAAATGAGGAAAGAAAAAAATCATTCACTGACTTGATTCAATGGTCTTTTTGGTCGGAGTGAGGACAAAGTCATCAGACTCCTCTTCGCTATCATCACGTTTCTTTTTCGTACCTGCAGAAAACGACGAAATATTTCAAAAACCAAATGAATCAAAATCGACTGCTTACTTTAAGACTCCGCTTTCCGCCATTTCGACAAGTGACATAGAACAGAGTCTTAGACCAAGCAGTCAAAATGACAGAAAACTTCCAGCTATAAATCTACAATCTCCACACTATGTACGCATTCCTGACAAATTGACCAAAAGCCCAACTCACTAAAAGTTTACATAGTTCTGATTAAGATTTCCTTCATGCTTGAGAAAGCTTCATGTATTAAAAGGAAGCCCTTGGTTCCTCTACGACTACGAAAGAACAACCTCAGGTAATAGTCTTTTTTTAACACCTTGTGCTCCTTCAAGGACTTTTGTGAACATACAATGCCTGCTAAAATATTTTGTACCCCAATCATTTCATTCAAGAAAAGCACTACCTTTGAAAATGTCTCATGTCATAGGTTTATATTTATGAATACACCGTGGTCTGGCATATTTACCCAAAATTTGGTCATGCTAGTGGCATTAGGGGGCACTGTCGGGTAGTCCACACGGATGACCATTTCTAAAAGCCACAATCTTCCCACAAATGGTCATGGTAAAAGATAACACATATTTCAGTCTCCAGTCAGAAGGAAGGAAGCACAAGTTGACTTGTACATATATACTCAAAAGAGCACTTTGTGTTTTGATATTTTAGCAAAACTCCAGGAATGATATTATTAAAAAATCAAAATTAAAAAACTATATTACATGAAACAAATCTGATTACAAAATCTGCAAATAAACATATCAGTAACAGTGAAAGCTACATGGAGTGTCTAGGAATCAAACACATTCATAATAAAACAAATTTGAATCTGTGCTAATGCAAATAAGTACAATGCTCAAGCGCGGTTATAAATACAAACCAAAATGCTAACCATGCTGAAAGCAACCTGCTGGGAGTACAACTAGTGGCATGTGCCCACAGGATACATACAGTGGGCACAGTATGTCAGAAAGTCAAACAATTCCTCTTTTAGTACTACATTAATATACCTTCCTACAAAACTTCCATCTTTGTTTAAGTAAAGAGAAGCACATAGACACAATAACGGTCATATAGTGCTGGGAAAACGTGAGACAGACAGACAGAAACAACAGACGGTTTTACAATTACTTCCATCTTTGGTAGGTGATCCGACTTTCTTCCCGTTTCATAATTTTAAAAGGTGAAATGCAAAAGACGCATTCTACCAACAACTTAAGTATTGTCCTTGACAGACAGAATATCACCGATCTTGCAGAACAGATACACAACTGACGACAGTACAGAGGTAGTAATGTCTCACTTTTGCCGCCTTTCAGAGACCAACATTTTCCTACTGCCCATCTACATGCATTTTGTAGCAGGCCATTAAATAGCACCCGTCACTACCCAGATGATCTCCACTGCCCTTTTAGTCTCACTAAGAGTTTTACGGCTCTTGCGACACAGTAAGGTCATATAAGTGCCGAAGATTAAAGGTGCTAGAAGAGAGTAACAAACACATAAAAAAGGAGGAGAGGTCAGGACGACAGATTTTTGTAGGAAAGAAGGAGCAAAACTACATCAGAGCACCTGCCAACCACCTGGTTCCCCACTGCCCACCAAAATTATCAAATTGCTCACAAGTGGGTGATCCTACCGAGGTGGACAAGCACTGAGTTACAACTCGACTTCTTGTTTAGCTTTAGTAGAGGTTTTACAGCGCTCGCAACTGCATAAAGTCATATGAGCACCAGGAGATTAGAGGCGTTACAAGAGAGTAACAAACATGAAAAGGAAGGAGGGGAGATAAGGACGATAGATGTTTGATAGGAAAAAAGATGCAAACCACACCAGAGCACCCGCCAACCACCCACTACAACTCTACTTCTTGTGACAACAGCACACCAGGTTAAGTAAAACCAGTCCGTGCAAACAGTTGGTGGAAGAAGTCGCGAGGAAGGAATGCAATGTCCTGCCCTTTATTGCATCATTCTACGCCTCTCTCAGATGTGGCTCATCTTATATATATATATAAACCTCTAATGCTAAACATCAGCATAACATATCAATAATATTACTCATCATGCATATATAACGGTCCCAGCCATATGGTCACACCATGCAGCACTCATAAGTCCAAGCTATACCATCAGTGTAGCACAGGAATTACTTCATCCAAAAGGCATGCTTTATTCCTCAGTGGGTGAAAATGCTGCCCAATTTTTATTTTAAAACATTTTTTTTTTCATGTAGGTGTTTTTAATGCTCCTGTCGACACAGATCAGATAATTTAGGAGGCGGGATTTGACCCTGCCTGTCAGAGGTCAACCCAGGCTAAGAAGGATACAACATCCCAGGAGAAAGACAAAGATATTGATTTTAAAAATTCTCCCAACTCTGGAATGAAACTCAAGTCTCTTGCATGCAATGGCAGAGCCCCTAACCACTACACCACAGATGCTGGTAAATGAATGTAGTTTGTTGTTACGTACTATAACATAATAACTGACTTTCACAGGACAAATCGAGTATAAACAATCTGATGCACGTCAGTTGTCGCTCCACGGATGCATAAATAAAACAATCCACTTCATGCAGCACCATGCTACTCCACCATGCTCATCAGCACATCTCTGAGGGTGAAGTAAGTACTCCGCAGTCAGAACTTTTACAGAAGAAAACATTGACCGAAAAACACTTGATCCAAGAGGCGTCTTAAAGGATGGCATACTATACTGTTTGTTACAAATGATGAATGGACATAGAGTGGCTTTTTCCAGCTGTCACTCAATCTTTTCATTCTTCTTTACTTAATCAATGAATGATTCCTATTGCCGAGTTAGGGCCTGTGGTCTAATCCCTATGTGAAAATATTGTTCTATGTATCTTTCTGTGCAATTTTGTTGTACTTTTGTTTGCTTTTTTGTTCGGTTTTTGTTTTGCTGTTTTTTTGAGAGAGTGGTGGTTTAAAATCTATTAGTGTGTGGTGCTTAGCTCATTTAAGTGTTCAGGGTTGGAAAAATAGTGTCCATTCTGTCCAAATCTTGGCACCACGGTGTGAATTTTTGTCCTGATAAAAGCCCAGCAAACAAATTAATACCTGTCAGCCAAAGGTAAACAAAAAAATCAGTCTACAAAGTTTAAGCCTACCAGCAGGTCCCACACCAATGCGGCATTGATCCCATATGAATATACTACATATGACGCAGAACTGTCGCTATGAAACACACCATCTAGTGAATGAGAGACAGAAAGAGGGAGGGAGGGAGGGAGGGAGGCAGCCTTCAGATGGTATGTTGGGGTGGGGGGGGGGGGGGGGGGGGAGGAAAAAAAGCCCCCCGGGGGGCCCCCTCCCGGGGGGGGGGAGAGAGGAGAGTAGGCCCTCGTGGTGCTCACATCCAGTGAGTGTGGTGACAACAAAGCTCGTTTGGGCTGGACTAGCATGCCACAGAGGTCAGAGGTCAGAGCGCAGTGTGGTGGTACTCACTTCGGTGCTTAAAGAACTTAAAAGACCGTCCGGGGCTTGATGGAATGCATGAATAGGATAAGTGGTTGGAGCTTTTCGCTTCTCGTCTTTCTGAATTGATGAGCAAAATTCAACATCCACAAGCGTTCTCATTCGTAGTACAAAGGAAAAGAGTTCCTTTTCAAACAATTTGCGTTGTAACTGATCAAATGCAAAAATAATGTTAATTACAGCAGTATGCTATGAACTGATCATGCTTGTAAAACAAAAAAAAGCAGGAGAAGACATAAGTACAGTAGCATTTTTCAGATTTCATCAAAGTTCACCTCATGGGCCTAAATCAATGCTCATTGATTCAATCAAAAACACAAATGCAGACATCTTTATCAGTTATGAAACAAAAATACCTAATTTATGTTGGTTTTAGAAAGAATTTTACGGCACTTACAACACAAATAGGTCACATAAATGCCACAGAATAGAGACACTACTAGACAGTTAGCATACAAACAAAGAAGGAGGCCGGTGGACGATAGATATTCAATAGGAAAGAAGGAGCAAACCACACAAGAGCACCTGCCAACCACCCACCAGACACACTTTCTCAGAATTTTTTCCCCCAGACTTTCAATATGTTAAAAAATACATGAGTTTTCTTGATCTCTCCTCAAAGAAAGCAGTCTCCAGAAGAAATGTTTTCCCCACAAATACATTACAAAATATACTATCCACACCGAAATCCCCGCAAACAAGCCAAAATATTCAAAAAGATTACTGAAACAAGAGGCCTTAAAAAAAAAACAGCCCAGCTACACACACACTGAATCAATGAGCTATGACTTATTGTATGTTACAGTCCGGCATAAGTGTACACTTCTCTCAAAGCAAACGTATCCAAAATGCATAATTTAGAAAAAAAGAGATTTGTTGTAATCAAACTTTTCAGAACAAAACAAAAGACAAGAGATTAACTTGGAGAAGGGCAACATAAGTCACAGCACATCCAGGAAAAAAACCAAAGGAGGAAGCAGAACAGGAAAGGAAGGGGAAAAAACCACAACTACAAGAGTTGGACAAACATTCGAACTGGTTCCAAAGTTCCAAATGATGAACAGCATCTGAAACCATTCAAATAAGCAAGAAAGAGAGCTTGCATCTACATCACCAAAAAGACGAATCATGAACACATAATGCATGACATACTAAGGTGACACAGTGGAAAGGAACAAGACTCGCTCAGGGATGAAAGGAATAAGAATGAGCTACGCAAAGGAGTTTGAGGAAAATGAAGAAAATGTCTTTTCTCACTTAGGACAAAGAGTGCGCTCCTTACTGTCTGAATCTCTACCCAACACCAACTGCGCTGACACCCAAGTTAGGCAGACTACATTGTGTAGAAAAGTAATTGGTAATGTTTGCCATAAAAGTAAAGAGAAGGTACTTTCTGTAATTTTCCCCCCTTTTCCACCTGCAGGATAAAGAAGAGAGAAAAGTTTTATGTTCACCTCCCCCTCATCCCACCCCCACGAACTCACTCATGTAACTGAAATAAGAATCACAAGAGTTGTCATTCTGTTGTTAAGTAGACCTTCAATTTAGAACAAAGTTAAAGAGACCAAACAGTTCGAATTCTCTTGTATTCTCAAGAATGGACAACAAGATTTTTAAATTTTTTTTTAATTTTAAGAATGGACCAACTTTCTAAAGATTAATAAAAGAGAAACATTTTCAGGAAGACACTGCTTTCTCAATATAAAGAAAGAACATTTTTGAGAAGAGGAAGTGAAAGAGAGCAGACACACAAATACACAAACATTCTGTTGTACTAACTTGAACACGATGCAATGATTACAAACATAAAAGACAACAGCAGGAGGTAACGATCAGCTACAAAATGACGTAGACAAAGAGAGAAACTTAACCACACACAGGAAACAACACAATATCATTGGTATGAGCTTCACACTCCCATCACCATCGCTAACCCAGCAGGAAAGAATATACAGTGGTCTCTGGCTAATAACACACCCTTTGGGTGACAAGGAAAGAATGCTCTTAAACCAACATGCTGTTATTAGTATAAAGTGAATTTTCAGGGAGGCTAATAATCTAAGAGTAATAATTCTGTCTAATTTCAAAGGCTGATGCGATCCACCACGCATCTGATCTCCTGTAGTGGGTTGTATCATTGAGCTGTCGTGTAAAGTGTTCCTTCACAAAACGACACAAACAACGACCATCAAAATAACAGCCCTGTCACTCTGTACGCCCATCGTGCATGGCCTGTCACTGGCTCTCCTCATTCTGTCCCAAGCCTTTCTGCCTCACACTTTGTCCCTCACACCTTGTCCCTATACATCTTATTCTCCCTGCCAGTGCCGCAGTTCCAAGTACAAGGGGAAGGCATGTGGAGTTTGCTTCACTTCCATCAGTTCTTAGCGAAGTGAGTCATTATATGGCCGATTTGTTTTCAACACTAGCGCATGAATAATAGGGCTATCAGTTTTAGACAAAGATGTCAATTTACGAGTAAACATGCCCTTCTGAGTGATAATTACATAATAAAGATTTGATTAAGCCCTGAGTGTGTGCTTTGAAGCAGTTCTTGCTTTTATCCAGCATGCCATTAGCCAGAGACTGTTGTACATAGATTGACCCACATTGAAAATACACCTTGACCCATCCTCAGCTATCCAAAAAGAATAATTATGACACTCCAAGTTCAGGGCATAACCATAGGAACATTGACCACATAAACATAGGCCACTTTTCCCCTCTTTCAAATTATATGAAAGAACCACCTCATGAGCAACAATAACTTTTAAGGATGAGAAACAATACTATATCAATGACATATTGTGATAATACAAAAAGTCGAGGTAATAAATGTAAACGTGATAGTCCCACCAACATTTCAAGCTATGTTCCTATAGCTTGTTCACTTTCGTCTGACAGTATTTACAAAAATTACAGCTCATTTAATAATTTGTCAATGTACATATAACTTTGCATGGCAATCCTTGCTGTGGGCTGATAACCACAAAAATGTTTTTCTTTTTTAAAATATTGATCCAGCAATTAAAACTTTCTTTATTGGGGCCTATTATCAAATATTGCCCTTTGGATGTGTACACAGGATCACTACAATATATGATTTACAGTAACCTTCCTTACAAAATACTCATTTTGATATTGCAGCACCACCTTGCCTCCACATTCCGATGCAAGCTCATAGATTTTCTCCCAAGACTGTCAAGATGTCTCCATATGAGACTCAAAAAGTACCCACCCGTATGTAGGTACGCATTAAAGTGTGGTGTTGTTGTTTATGGGTAAACTTTTGGATGATTTAGGGGCATGCGGTAAATCCCTTATTACTTCTTTTACTCGCTTAAGACTGACATCATGGAAAATGTATTAGAACCTTCGTTTCCAGTGAGTTTCATTAAAGGGCATTTAGAATCTGCCGGTCATCCAACTTTTATACCAGCATGCAAAGACTTAAGAAGATTTAATAGAACGACTTCTGCTCATCTTGTTTCAACCACAGTCAGACAAAAGTAAACAAGCTATAACATCCCTACATCAGTTGAAGGAGCATAATGAGATAGACCAGGAAAGACAAAGATAACACTGACCAGGCATCAATAGGGGCCAATTGCCTCACAGAAGCAGAAAACGAAAAGTATCAGCTCACACAAAAGGTTCTCCACACTTTATGCACGAAAATAGTCCTGAAGCTTCCCATCTAAAGCATTTTTTTTAGTTTAGTTTTTAGTAAGACTTTTAAAGAACTCGCAGCACAAATAATATGTCATCATACAAGAGCCAAAAATCAGAGCTGTTTCTAGAGAGTAACAAAGAAAGCAAGGAGGAGAGATAAAGATGATCGATATTTGATAGGGAAAAAAAAGGAGCACACCACACCTGAGCAACCGCCAACCACCCAAAATCAAAGTTTTCTACACTTTTTAAGCAAGTAAAAAGTCAGGAAGCCTCCCACCTACAAAGCAGCAATCATATTTTTAAGTAACAAAAGCTTAAAACAAGATGCGCTCAGTTGACCGATAGTGTACAGAGACTTCATGACACAGGCCATATTTTGCCCACAAAAAAAAGAGGATGATCATCAAAACAAACAAACAAAAAGTTGAAAGACAGAACCAAAACAATCACCTGCACAGGAAGACACAGGAATGATACTTATTTCATCAATTGCCAAGAAAATACAAAAATGAGACCAGACATACGACTTCAACTTGCCCCAGGCGGAAAAGACACCCCAACAAATGGACGAGTGGTGTGATATAAAAACGCGGTCCTCAATCAACTACTCATAGCCTCAGAACTATTTTGTCCAAAGTGTACTTAAGTAAAGAGGTACTTTGGACAAAATAGTTCTGACGTACTGTAAGCTAAACGGACAAACAGACAGGCGCAGGTTTTTGGTCTGAAAGCGTCTTGGGGCAATAGATTGATAAAATACACCAAAAAATAATTTTTAAAAAAATCCCCACCATACTTGGAAAAAAATGATGCACCCAGCAAGTTCCTCACCTCCGACCCAGTTCTTGATTTGCTCCCGGGCTTTGCGCAGTGGGCTGAGATGGCCCGCCTGGTCACCAGCCCGCTCTGCCTCCTCCATGTCCTCCTTCCTCCTCATCATGACATCCCTGTGATGGGAAACCACCGTCTCTAGCTCCTTCCTCTTCTCCTCCGTGAGTGGTGCGCCGCGCGGGATGTCCAGGGGCGGCGGCCGGTGGTGTGCATCGGTCGGTCGGGTGTTGGCGCTTGCATCAGTCACGCGAGAGTTGGCGTCTGATGGTCGGATGTTGGAGTCCGATGATCGGATGTTGGCATCTGATGGTCGGATGTTGGCATCTGACGTCCGTGAGGGTATGGGGACAGGCTCGGGGGACGTCGGGGACTGGTCCTGTAGTGGTGGAAGCACACACAGACATGGACGGGGGAGGGGGAAGGGGAAGAGGGAAGAGTGGAAGAGGGGTGGGAGGGGGGGGGGGTATCATTAGGGATGATTTTAAAAAACAACAATGAGGGCTGGTGGGAAGGCAGTCATTAGGGACAATGGGTTTTTTTTAAAACAATTACCAAAACATCGTTTAGTTTAATTATACAGTAAGAGTTTTACTGCACTTGCAAGACAACTTTGGTCAGACAAGAGCCGAAGATTAGAGGAGTTACAAGAGAGTAACATTTTTTTAAAAGACACTAGAGAGATAAAAGTTATATATGTTTGATAGATAAGAAAGAGCTAATAAAATCAAAATATCATATTTATTCCAGGAGGGTCATTATTATCTCAAACATACATGGGTAGGGTGGGAAGAAGGAAGGGAGGGGGTTCAAAGAAAGACATTGACATTAAAAAAATAATAAAAAGGGCAGCCCAAACTACCATAGATTATAATGGACTTCACAGCTACGAGGAAAGGAAACAGGTTACAAAAAAAGGAAAGGTACTACATAGTCGGAAACTTTCTGGTGTGTTATTTTTGTATATAGTAATATAAGAACAATATTGTAGACTAAATATGAAAGTGGTTACAACTTAAGTCTTTATAAGAGTTTTACGGCACTTGCAACACAAATAAATTAGGTTATAAAAGTGCGGAAGATTAGGAGTATTACTAGAGATTAACAATTATTTCTAAAAAAGGAGGAGAGAGAAGGACGATAAAAGTTTGATACTTAAATTTTTTTTTTACAGAATCAAACCCCATCAGATCGCAGAGTATCATCAACATATTTCTTTGCACACCTTGTATACAAGAATAATCATGTGGACTGAATATGGAAATAGTCACACCCAAAATAAATGCATATAATTTAATTAGAACCCTCAATATACCACACCACAATTGCAGAGGAAAGAGCAGAAGTAAAAAGCATCTTGGCACATTGACTACTAGAAAGATGTACGTTTAATTCAGGGTTTAAGAACATCATGCAACGCTAGTTAAGCTCAGGACCTTTCTCACTAGAGTTCAGCTATACAAGCCGGTATCAACAGAGAGACAAAGCTTTCACACACAGCTCAGCCATTCCTTTAGTTTTCTAAAGATTTTACAGCACTTGCGACACAAATATGTCATATAAGTGCTGGAGGTTAGAGGTGTTACTAGAACATAACATACAAAGAAAAGAAGGAGATAAGGAGTTGAGCCATATAATTTGGTCACAAAGACAGACACTTTTAAGGAATAAATACATTTTGATGTGGTTTCCTCCTTTCCTATCAAACATTTATCATTTAGATCTATCTCTCCTTTTCTTTTCTTTGTCTCTTACTCTCGTGTAACACCTCTACTCTTTGGCACTTAAATGACTTATTTGTGTTGCAAGTGCCTTAAAACTTTTACTAAAACTAAACAAAATGATGTTCTGGTTATTATTTCAGCCATACAACCCGCTATCAAAAGACAGGCAAAGCTTTCACACCATAGCTCAGCCACACAAATCGGTATCAAAGAGAGACAAAGTACAAAAAGTAGAGGTGTGCTGTCTAAGTGCATGTCTATTCCAGAATGTTGGGGGTTAGTACGTGATCTCAACTTGACCAATAGCTGAAAAGATGTCACTTGCAGTCTATACATCTAGACACAAAGCAAGGAGGAAATATGAGGAATGCATTGTAGAAAGCTTCTGTTATTTTTGTTTTCATCCTGTTTTTCTTAGAAAATAAGAATTTAGCAATTCAATTGATCAATCAATCAAATACAATTCTCAGTCGTCTTTTTTTTTGGGGGGGGGGGGGGGGGGGTGTTTAAAGGATTTTTTTTTTTAAGAAAAAAGAAAAATTCAAAGATATCTAGTGGTAGACAGAGAAGCTGAATTGAAAAAAACAAAACTTTCTTGCATCAATCTTCAAACTTGATTTAATCAAAAACATTTTTACATTCAAATATTATCTATGTATTTGTGTGGTAAGGTGGTGAAACAAGGCGCTCTACAAAATAATGAGATTGTTGTAGAATCTAGTAGCTGAAATTTGTCTACTCACTGAGCAATATTTATCAATTCCCCAACCCCTCTTATGTCCACTCAAGAACAAATTTCTGTGAGGATTTTAAAGAGAAATGTTGATGAAAGGCACAAAAAAGGTAAATTTGCATTTTCCAAGGACACCAAAGCTTCAGAAGTCGCCAAATTTGGGCGGTACTTCTGCTACCAGGTGACCCCACCTCCTTCAATCAAGTATCTGAACTTCTCTACAGGATAGGGTTGTTTTTTTTTTTGCTTTTTTCCCCACCGTAAGCAAGACAAAGGAACAACCTTTAAGCAATACAAAACCAGTAACTCTACATGCCCTAAAATTGACGAGCGCCTGATTCCACTACGTCATGCCACATCTCTCCCTACACCTACAGAAACAAAGACATGGCCCACAACACACCCTCCCCCCAAGCACAATCTCCCCATCTGTCAGATACAACAGATATAGACGGCCATGCTAAGCCAAGACTACATTCCATTCCTATAGCATAGAGCTGATTATCCTTTCATTGAGAAAAGAAATCTTTTGGTTCATGAAATCTGTATTTCAAATACAGACAAAGACATAGGTATGGGTGCCATATAGATGTATAATATATATCTACCGTAGCTAAGTTACAGTTTAGGGCAAGTCAGAAAGAAACAGAAAACAGTCGAAATTGTAAAAAGGTGACTACCTTTTGCCCAGAAGGAAAACTCAATTTAGACAGAAGGGCGCCTTGGAAAGAGACTTTATAATATTTAGGGAAGACGTCTTCACAAGTGATTGTCTTGGACAGATGGCCCTTAGAGCAGGTTAGACAGTGTATTAACATAGGAACTCAGTCTGGAAAGGAGACCACACCAGCCAGCTATTTACAGAAAGGGAAGACTCAGTGACAGACGTCCAAAACATTAGACAACAGGAGGCTCACACCAGCCTAAAAATGGAACATGAACTGTCAGAAAAAGGAAGAGATATCCCACAGCTCCACTAGGAAAAGAAGTGAAAGGGGGGGGGGGTTCTAGAGAGTGGAAGGGGATCTGAATGTTGAAAGATTACTGCCATGGTAAAAAATCACTTGTGCTATTAAATTCATAAATAATAATAATTACAACATCATATTAGAAGTTATTCAAAAATATGGTGAACAGCTCTTCCTTCAGTTGCTCAATGTTCTTTAAAAGCAAGGAAAAAGGTGGAGATCAATAACACTAGCATAACTATTGGTCCAAATGAAAGAAAGGTACCAAAATTTATTTGAATCAAAGATGAGCACTTTTACACAATAAATGCCTTCCCTTTTTAGTTTTAATTTAGGCGTTTTTACGCCCCCAACCACATAATTTAGATTATTTAGAAGGCGAGCTTCCGACTCTGTTGCCTTTCTGAGGCCCAACCCGGAATGAGAAGAATACAGTGCCCCAGTAGAAAGACCGAGATACTCAATAAAAATTTCTCCCCTCCCCCACTCCAGAATTTAACTTTCAGGTATCCTCCTGCACATGGCAGCAAAGTGCCTATCCCCTACACCACAGACGCTAGTGCCGAGGAGAGGATCGCAGAAAGAAATGATACAGGTACAGTAAACAGTTCTAAAACATCTGCGGCACAAATAGAAAATGAAGAGGGTCAGGGGTTTTGTTTTTGGGGTTTGGTTTTTTGTTATTTTTTTAAATCAAAGACTACAGCAAACACACTTCTATGGCATGTGCATGGACAAAACCAACAACAAAACACTGGGATTCAGAATGTGTGTGTGGAGCAGGCAGGCAATGCAGCATCAAAGTGCAGAAGGTGCACAGGAACACATACAGGAACACATACAGGAACACACACAGCAACACATACAGGAACACATACAGTCAAAATTGTTTAGGACGGCCACCCATTTGTCAAGGAAAAAAGTGGCCATCTTAGTCAGGAAGCCCTCGTATACAGTGTCATTATAAGGTATAAAAACATAAAGGTGGAAATGGGAAATGGCCATTTGTACAGGTGATGTTCTTACACAGGTGGCCGTTAGAACAGGTTTGACTGTACTATGGAAAATCACAACACAAAACCACATGAGATAAGGCGGGTGCAACGAAACCAGTGAGCAAAAAAAATGAATAAAAGCAGAAGTTCCACAACCAAGACATTAATTAATAAAGCCAGGCACAAGTAGTGCTGCCCCAACCCATTCCTTTATTTGATAAAGCCAAAGTGTCGCTAGCCTGTCAGGAATTGCAAACAAAAGCTCTATACATGACATCCGTGAATAAGTAGAAAAGCGATTGTTTGATAAGGCAAAAGTGTAAACTAGCCCTTTCTGAAAAATTTGTTTAAAAACCTCTTTGGGGAAAAAAAACAACACAAAAAAACAAACAAAACAAGATGGCGCCAAGTCTGAACATAAGAGATATCTTTATCATTAGCGTCACACTGACAATTTCACTTTGACCTGTCTTGATGGACGACAACAGTGTCTTACACTTGTATTGTCTAGGGCATATTAATTATCATTACTATTATTATTACCATTATTATTATTATTATTACAACTATGAGGTCTGAAAACTAGTAAAAATGTAGGACAGAGAAGTATTTGCATTCCAATCAGGCTTTGGTCAAGACTTAAAGAGCACGGAGTGACAGGATTCAACTCAGGTTGAGGTTAGCAAGGAAATGAGAATGCAGAAACACACCAAAGACAGAAAAAAGATATGTTAGAGAAACACGATCATGGGTGCAGCAGCTACGACGAGACTGTCAACAGAAAAGGGACACAGTAGATGACAAGAATTTAGCCTAATGCCCAGAGCACACTGCCCACTGAATTCAGTCAAACTGAGCGGAAGGCCAGCCAGATTGGCAGTGTGCACTCGGTATAAGAAGCAGATCTGTCAAAAAGAAGTAACATGGTAGTGACTTTTCTTGATAAGACAGTCCCCTCTTCCCAGTTCCCACATCTTCCCCCCACCCCTGAACCACCTTAAAAAGAAACCCTCAAAATGTAATCAAAGAAAGAAAGAAATGAGGAAGAGGAGAGGGTGGACGATGAGGAGAGTGATGGCGAGACAGACAGACAGAGAGAGAGAGAGAGAGAGAGAGAGAGAGAGAGAGAGAGAGAGAGAGGAGGAAAGAAAGAGAGAGACAAGATACAAGAAAGAGAGAGTGACAGAAAGACAGAGAAAGAAGCGGTGACAGATGAATAGTGAAAAGTGCACAAACAAAGCTGCATTTCACAGCACAGCCAATCACTGAAGGCGGCATCATCACATCACGACCATCTACGACACCATCACACCATCGTCACCAACATCATCATCACCATCAGCATCATCATCGTCAACTATCATCCCACACGGACAGCTAGTAGCAATTCCCTCACCCAATCAGAAAAGGACTCCTGCTTAGCTAAGGGGGCCGAGCTCTTCCTGTGCTTCCATCGCTGGGATCCACGGCGCACCACGAACACTCGGCCGTCCACCTGTGGCAGCACGGGCAGGTTACTCCATCAAACATGCAACATCCACAACACACATCAAGTCCATAGTACAGTTTCATTCAGGGGATGGTGCTCTTCAGATAGATGGTGGCACAGTGCACCCTTGTCAAAATGTGGCATCCCCATCAACCCTCATCAAAATGTGACCCTGAACAACCCTCCTCAAAACGTTTTTCTTTTTCTTTTTAGGTAGGTGGGTTTTTTTTACTCCTTCATTAATCAACAGTTTAGATCATTTGGCAGGCAGGCTGAGAGGGATACAACATCCCAGCAGAAAGACTGAAATAATATATACAAATTTTCTCCACACTCAGGAATCAAACTCAGGTCTCCTGCAAGCGACAGCACAATGCCTAACAACAACATCACAGATGCTGGTCTCGCCAAAATGTGACCCTGTGACCTTGTGACAATTTATCAGAGCTGGATGTCTGATATCTTCTCTTGGCAACCAGTTCTTCTATGTTTGGAATAAAGTTCTGTGTTTTGGAGATTCTTAGGATGGGCCACCTCAAAATCTCTCAGGCTGATTGTTCGCCTGGCAAGGTGAAAGACCCGTGAGCCTTGAGTTTGACACTTGAGACTTAAATGATCAGAGAAAAGAAACACCACTCCCATCCCCGTCCCCTGGTTCATTCTGATAAGGGTGCACTGCCAGTGGTTATTGACAACTAAGAATGTTTCCTGACTCAAGTTCCACCCGAGGATGCAATCACACTCAGTCGGTTCAAACGATTGGGGAGAACACAGACTCAAGGACGCAGAGGCAAACAGACCAACAGATAGGAGGAGAGGAAAAAAGACACGGACGACAGTGTGCTAATGCAAGTGGGGGACTTTGACTCTTCAATGACAAAGTGGACACATATTTCAGATCAGGAGCAGACCAAACGCAATGTTGCGGCACATTTCAAACCACCCAACACAAGAATTCGCATTTTTCAAAGAATGCAGGCTTTTGGTTTTAAAGTTTCATGCACAGAAAACAAAAAAAATCTGCATGAATAACAAAGTTGTGCTTTTCTGATTTCAAGCGCCCCGACATTGCGTCTTCAAGCCTGTCTTAAGTGAGTTAAAAAGAAACTCTCAAGTTCTGAAGGGAATGGAAAAAGACAATATGAGACCACAGCAAAAAGAATTTTCTTGATGGTCCTGAGGAAGACTTAGTATCACAATTTGTTTTCGTTCTTAAAAAGAAAACATTTTTATTATGACCACTGCACACACACAAAAGAAAATAAACAGGACAAAACGATTAATCAAATCCAGAGTGTTAAGTTTTGTAGGAGATTGCGTGAAAGATCAAAGATAAAAACCTGTCGTTTTCAAATATTTGTTCGTTTGTTTGAGTGAAGAGACATTCATCGACACAATAACGGCAATTTAGTGCAGGGAAAAGGTAAAACAGACAATAATGATAGGGAGAAAGAAAAGGAGTTGCACTTAGCGGTGGTGCCCTCCAACCACCCACATTAAATTTTTAGATACAACAAGATAAAAAAATTACTCTCTCAGAGTCAACACACTGGACCTATGGTGCACATTCCCTTCAACAGAAATCCTAATTTGCATGAGCATCCTCAACTATCTCCGCTATATTTGTGTCATGACATGGTGGTATTGGGCACTCGTCAATTTGGGGGCATTAGGGGGATACTGGTACAATTATTGAACTTGCTCATTTGTCTTCTTTTGATGAACAAATTTTAAAAAACCCATCTGTTTTTAAAAAAAAAATCAAAGTACATGTGTTTTTGCGATTGAAGGAGATGGGGGCCGTTTGGCACACAGGTACAATTAGGGAAAAAATTGCCGCCAAAGTTTGGTGACTTCAAAAGCTTGAGCGCCCTTGCAAACTGCAAATTTACTTTTTTTTCTGCCTTTGAGCAATGTTTTTCATTTTCATTCACACAAAAATGTGATCTTAAATGGACAAAAACTAGATAAAAATTGCCCAACAGGCGAAAAAATGTTGGGTTTCTTCAGTTTCATTATTTTGACGAGCCCCTGAGTATACCACAATGCTGTAAAATTGTTCTTCCAACACCAGGCTCTACGAACAGGCTCTACAAACAACAAAACAACAGACACACATCTGTACACCTCACCTCAACACATGGCTAATCAACAAATGGCAGGACAGATTTTTAAAAACCCAAAACAACCAATAACTACTGTCCTTTTTCCAGACAAAATGGTGGTCAACCCAGGAAAGAAGATCAAATTTAGAAGAAATTAAAAAAAAAAAATAACTACAAGCTATGATGTCAATTTGATTCCTTTAAAATCTACTGCACATGCAACCCGTGTATTCCTGAAAAATAATAACATGTCTGATAGAGTATGACTTGCTACAGAGTCTTTCTTTCTCCCCCCCCCCCCCCCCTTCCCTCCCCAAATAAAAACGACAGCAAAAGTATGCATAGAAAATGACATACAACTGTACGCTGTTCACTAGTCTGATCGCATTTCAAAACTATTTCGCATCCCTTGGCGTTAAGACACAGCTCTAAAAACTACACCTCTACAACTCTACCACAAACATTTTTTTTTAAAGGAAGAAGAAGAAAAATTAAAACCAAGTTTTTGTTTTAACCAGACAAAACGTCTACCTCTACAAACAGACTGCCAACCGCAAGACAAAATAAAAATAAAAAGAATAAATAAATAAACCATTTATAAAAAAATTGACTCGGGCAACAAAAAATAAGCCTTTGAAGCTGGAATAGGTGAAGCGTGAAAAAATAAAATTCACATACACACGCACATACATTTATTCATCCTAAATGTCTAAAAAGGAGAGCAGTGAAGTGATGTGGATGACCCGAGGGTTTTTTTCAACAAAATGAGCAAATTGGCTGATTGATATATTTTATAATAGACATTATATTAATAGAGGAACAACTAGAGCCCTTCTAGTCTGGTGAGGAGCCTGCATGAAACCAGTATGAAGGAAAATTGGAGCAGTATTAAGTAACCCACTACACTTTGACACGCTGTGAAACAAGTTTGTTTTTAGCCCCATGAGAATTGCTACGACAATGACCCTGTGTCTTTCACCGATGTCATACAGATAGTATTCAAGACCTCAATACTTTGTTGCTGTGGGCTATGGTTTAAAAAAATGGAAGCAATATTAAGTGACCCATTACTACTTTTCACAGGCACGCTGCAATTTTTTTCATCAAGCCATTTTGACAATGTTACCCAAAAAAATTTATTTCGCCCAATGTCTTTTCTTGTGAAATATATTTATTCTGGATTAATTCCAAGAGCATTGCCTATTGAGTGATGAAAGGCATATGAAACATGAACCTGAGAACAAAATCTTCTTTATTATCACTGTTGGAAAGATTGAATCTGATCTAGTCACAACGCAAATTGGTTTCAGTGAAAAACATTTCGGCGAACATAAATGATGATGACAGTAATAATAATAATAATAATAATAATAATAATAATAAAATATAACAATAAAAATAATGATACAGCCAGAACAATAATAAAATAACAACCTAACAATAATAACCACAGGAACAATAGCTATTCCTGCATCACGTGCTTCAGTCAAGCCATTTAGAAGGAAGCCAAAGAACTTATCTAAAGCTACTCCAACCTCCCAGGGGGAATTCAGCAGAAAAGCAAAATATTAGTGAATATACAGTACTAAGACTTCACACTATAGACAAAGGTTAGGCAAAGGCTATACAGCTCAAGGTCTGCCCTGTCAGAGAGTGATAACTAACCACTGAGCCACTACACCGGTACCTCTACCTCAGTGCTTGCCAACCTACACAGTAACCACCCACTTGTGGCCTATTTGGATCATTTTGGTGGGTTGTGTGGGGATCACCTGGATAGTGACAGGTGTTATTTTTACGTCCTACTTGGAAAGTGTCGGATATGTCCAAGCCGGCCACCCATTGCAGATGAGAAAAATTGATATCTTGACAGGTGGACATCTTACTCAGAGTCATCATATATGTAAAATGTATAGGTCATGTGAAAATGTAAAGATCATCTCTGCCAGGAAAGGACGAACATCATAATGTAAAAAAAGAATGCGTGCCCCCGGGTTGGAAGTGGCCATTTGAATAGGTGTTGTTCAAGTGATTATCTTATATAGGTGGCCGTTAGAGCAGGCTTGACTATACATATGGATGAGCAGTAGAAAACATTTCAGACTCTTAAAGGTGGCAAAAGTGTGCAGTGGCTATAAAATAAAGTTGACAAGCACTGAACTATGTGCAGGAAGCAATCTGCCCGGGAGCAAGGTTATGATCTTGACTATGTGCCCCAAATCTACGATATGTAACTAAGATATACAAAAGGAAGGGAAGGTGAGGGAAGGAGGGAGAACCTGTAAACATGCATATAACAATAATAAAATAAGGTAAGGCAAAAAACTACTTACATTGAAGCCCGCTTAAACCGAAATTTGCCGGACTGCCAAATTTTCTTTGGTATTTTAGTAAGTATTTTAGAGCACTTTCAACACAATTAGGTCCTATAAATGCCAACAGTTTAAGGAGTTACAAGAGAGTAACAAACGCAAAAAAAAACAAGGAAGAGAGACAAGGACGATAGATGTTTGATAGGAAAAAAGAGGCAGATCACACAAGAGCACCCGCCAACCACCCACTTTCTTTGGTTTTGCTAGGTTGTTTGTTTAGAGAGGTTGCTCAAATATAAGAAGAAGAAAAATCAGGAATTTAATTTTCTGAAGGTTTACTGTTGTTTTCGAATTAGCCATTTTCGATGTAAGCAGGCTCCACTGTAGTAAACAATACTGGTATGGCGAGCATATAACCAGGAAATAAATAATAAGTACACAGAAGTCTTTCATGCTGATCAGGTGCCATATCAACCATGACTGGGCTGAAATAAGTTTCTATGTAAAATGACTCTGAAGGACAGTTAAGTGTCGTGGGAATTGAGTTCAAATCCTAGATGGGGCATTCATGAGCATTGGTAAGTAGCGGAGTTCTCAGGATTCCCCATCCACTTGGGTAGGTCTTATCAGAGATTGGTTTTAAAAACGAATGGTCATGCCTCTTAAATACTCTAACAGTATTGATTGGGGCAATGGACCTATACAAAATTTACCAGTCAAAATAATAACAAACAGTACTTGTGAAGCACACATGTCCCACGCAACAGCATACTCAGTACACTTCACACTATATCATTACTCCATCAGACCCTAGAACACTCAGAAGCATTCTCTGCTTCACAGGAAGCATACAGTGCAAGCATCTGATAAAGTGCTCAAACGTTAACAAACTGACAAGACCTTTCACTGTCTATCGCCGGGTACCCATTTCCACCTGGGTGAAGTGAGGAAAATTTGTGCAGTGCTTTTCCCAAGGACACAATGTCAGGTCCCAATTACAGGTAAGTCACTCCATATTGAGAAAAAGTTCAGCCTGTTCATGATCAATATACTACCCTTTTCGTATCTTTCAAGGGGCTGGATGGGATAAGAAGCAAAACAAAGGACAAAAATTGATGTCTTGTCAGAACTGGGGCAGTCCGCCATGAATAATTCCCACACAGGGTGCAAGAATCATGCTATGGTAAGAAAGACATCAAAGTCTTTCACCGTGTTTGGTCAAATAATAAAACATTCATCCCTGGGAGTAAGAGCACAGAAACATGCTGTGAAGAAAGAAGCTTCCGTATCAGCAATCACAAAAATGGGAACTGAAAAGGCAACCGAAAAACGACACACAAATAAACACACACAAACAAATCTGCCAGGCACACAGTGTGAGTTGTTACTTACTTCCTCTTGCCCCTTCCCCTTCTCACCCTGGTAGAGAAAAATACAAGTCTCTCACCAAAATGTACAACATTAGTAATAGCATAGCAGTAGAAAAAAAGATGTCATTATATAACCAAAAAGTTCACTTGCACTTAAACGGAGCGGCCCATCTCAGCAAGTCTTCTCTAGTAAACACCTGACAGATTTTAACAGGGAACGGTATTTGGGGGGCGCACAGATTTAATAATAATTCAATAGGACAAACTCATCAGTAGTATAAGTCCAAGGAAGAGAATTATTCCACTTTGAGATCACACAAATTTAATGAACCCAAATGGGGAAATAAGCTGCAGTGAAGTTTGCTTATCAAATAGAAGAGGGAAAAAATATGGCGTTTTATTTCATTTCTGTATACTGCAGTTTTTGTATTAATCGTGTTCAGTTTAAGAGGACACCACTGTATATGGACGGGCGGTTCAGGGGGACATAAGACAGAGTGGTTGGGGCAGAGCACACAACTCAGAGAAGTCTCAACTCGAGATGAACCACTGTAAGACCTTACACCACCATTTCATCAGCAAACTGTTCAACTGTTCTAAGCACAGAAAGCAAAAGTTTTCAGGCAAGAAAAAAAATCAAACTTCCATTTAAAACAATAATAATTGCTCCTACATCATGTGTCTCTTTTGTTTTTAATTTTTTTCCCCTCCACATTTCAAAGTTGAATTTCAACAATCTTTCTCGAAGTCATGCAACCTGCACCACAAATTAAGAAACTGCATTTTAAAACAAAATTTCGAAAGGTTGGGCTTGGTCCATCTGAACAGCTGGCTGACAATATGTCAAACTATGTAGCTATATCTAAACATTTGAAAAAAACTGAAAGCTTCTGTCCTAGGGCAAGTGACCATCGTAAAATGAGAAAAATGTAACTTGAGAATACTTACGTCATCTCGCTCTGGGGTTTTTTGGAATGTTTTAGCGAGCTCTTTGACCCTGAAACAGATTGAAAGAAGGAAAACAAAGTTTCAGAACAGTTCACCTCACTCAAAGCACTCTATTTTTACAATGACCTTTGTCCAACCCACCATTTTGTCAGTCATTTCACAATCGCTCAAATCAATTTCTGGTAGTCTTTTCACATAACGTTCTTATTCGAAAAAAACAAAAAAAACATCAAGAAGCTTCTTACAATATAAATTGCCTGAGGCATTAGAAACATTTGGAAAATTTCAATCACATAATAACAATATATGACATTTGTACAGTGCTCAATCCCAATTAAAGAAAACAGGCTCTGAGCACTGTACAAATACAAGTAACATCACAATGGAATTTGTACGTGCCCCTGACAGCGGATCACCAGCACAGTGGTTCTGACCACAAGCCATAGAAAGCATCTTGCTAGTCATAAGGAGTTACTGTAAAATTCAGCCTATAAGCCACGACTTTTTCCTCAGCTTTAAACCCTATGGCTAATTTCAGATTATTTTCCGATAGCAGGATAGTCACTCCCTCATCTACTCTGAAACATTAAAATGTTGACATATTTTCAAAGATTTGCACATTTTCCTCAACACCATACTTAAGTTTACACCTTACAAACGCCATCCAAAAGATGGGAGAGTACTTTTCCACACTCCCAAATAAGCTGCGGCTTATAAAACAATGTGGCTTATTTGTAAAAGAAAAGTTCAGGATTTTTACAAAATCTAGAAGGAGCAACTTATATACAGGTGTGCATTCAAAAGCCCGAACGTTACGGTAAGCATAGTTCTCCAAACCTGGAAGCTCTTCGTATCCGTGACGCCTCGTCGTCCGGTACGGGTATGTCGATGGCCTCCGAGATGGGGCTGGAGGAGGTGGCACTGACCGTCCCCTCAGTGACCGGCTCACTCGGAGGTTTGGCCGTGTCCACCGACGTCGTCTCTGTCTCCGAGTCCTCCATGATGCCGCTGCTCCTGTGTCCAGGGAATAACCATGATGATGACAATAAATAAAATGATTATAATGATAATAATAAATAATAATAATAAATAATAATAATAAACAATATTAACAATAGAATAAGAATAATAATAAATAATAATAACCACAATAACAACAATAATTATCATCATTGTCATCATCATCACCACCAGCAACAGCATCATCATCATCATAATAATATAAAAACATATACAATAATACTAAGAATAATAATAATAATAACTAAAATATTAATAATAATTATAATAACAAAAAATAAATAATAATATTAATAATAAAAATAATAATAATAATAATAACAACAACGTCCCCCATCTCCTTCCCACTTACTCCTCTTCTATTCCTATTACTAAACCCTTCACGTACTCCTCAGAGTCCCTCCTGGGCAGGCGTGTGGCGTAGTCTCGCTCTTCCAGCTCCTCCGAGCTCGGTGCTTTCACCAGAACTCCCTCGTCGCTGGCCGTAGACTGCAGCTCTTCCTTCTTCTCTCGTCGCCGGTCAGCCTCCAGGCGCTCGGCCACTGACCGCTGCTCCTCTTCCTCTTTCTCCCTGAGCGCGAAATGGGGAAACAAACTACTACAATGACCATAATATACTCATAAAGAAATGACCATAATATACTCATAAAGAAACGATCATAATATACTCATAAAGAAATGACAATAATAATATACTCAAAAAGCTAACTCCAGTTTGTTTTAATCTAATTTCTCGGAAACCGAATGACTTTTTAAAAAAAGAAGTGCAGTCTGGACTATTTGCGATAGTGTAGCATGCAGTAATAGACGTATTTGGTTTATTCTGTGCCTTTTTCCCAAATCATACTGACATAGAACTTGGGTCCATGATCCTTTTGCCCTGAGTGTCACGGTAATTGATGGTTGTTTAATCTCTTGTAACACAATAAGGTCTATAAATGCCAAAGATTTGAGGTGTTACAAGAAAGTAAAAAAAATAAACAAGAAGGAAGGGAGATAGATTGATAAGGATGATAGATGTTTGATAGAAAGAGCCAGCAAACCACATCAGAGCATCATCCAAGCACCCACTTGGAAAAATTCACTTTCATTTGCATTTTCGTTTTGGAAAAAACAACAAAGCAAACAAAACGCCAAGACAATAGGTTCTCAAAGAGTACACCAGACCACTGTTTTACCTTACTAAGGGGTGGTTGGTGGGGGGGGCCTAGATGTGACAAGCTGCTTCTACTCTCTTGTGTGTCTATTTTCCTAACCTGCTCCACATAAAAATCTAATTACAGTTGCATCACTTACAAAACTCGACAAAGAGAACAAAAACTTTCTTCTTCATTCTCAATGACAGTCGGACAGTTAATCCAGTGGTGTGCATAAACTGAGCAGTTCTCTTTCCATCCTCGAGGCCGCCATACAGTTTTTTCTCCAGTGGTGAAGCATGTTGTCACATACGTTTACTAAGAGTTGTGAAGTGAGTACAGCGCTGTAGGATATGGTTGCCATTTTCTTGACTCTACGCGTATTGACATAATGATGTGTTGCTGACTTTAAATTTGGAATGCATGTGCTGTTTCAGTCTATTGTGGAGACTAACAATTACAACAGATCAACAGCAAAAAGAACATCCTCTTACCTTGCCCTTCTTTCTTTTTCCTCCTTCTCTAGACGCTCTGCCTCTCGCAATCTCTCTCTCTCCTCTTCTTCCTCCCTCCTGATCCTCTCCTTCTCCTGTCTTTCAAACTCCTGCCTCTCCTGCTCTTGGCGAGCCAGCATGGCGTAGTACTCATCCCGCAACTGGAAGAATCTGGAAACGAGAAAACACCGATATGCAACAAAGATATCACAGAAGGGAAGAAAATTTTATTAAAAAAACAATGAGTTCATTAGTTGATTTCTGTTCTTTACACATTGATACAATTACTGACATACAAAATGTCAAACAAGTGTCAGTGACACGTGGCTTACATGGATGGTCACTCGGGTGTGTCCTTGAGCAAGACACAACCCTGCTAATCTCTCCTCCTTCTTTTTCTTATGTTTGAAACTCTTGTAACACCTTTAATCTTCAATACTAACTGGACCTTATTTTGCTGTAAGACACATACTAAAACTGACAATTTTTACTGTTCTATTTTAATTATTTTTAAAAATCCTATTTTCAAAATAATCACAGCCTATTTTCATAACAATCGTACTTTCTCCTTGTGAGCACCGCCCGCACGTAGGACTGGATGTATATGACAGCATAGCGCTGTGCGTGGAAGTGCTGGCGTGCCAGGTAGCAGCGGTAGTGTGTCTGGATGATGATGGCTGCGCTCTGCTGAAGCCGCATCAGTCTGTACTCGTGGAAGTCTTGCTGGGCAAGGAACCGCCGGATGTGTTTCTGTGAAACAAGTAACAAATTCATTCACCTGACTTGCAAAGTAAAATCAGGCCGTGCTGTGAACTATCAATCACTCTGACTTGCAAAGTAAAATCAGACTGTGCTGCGAACTAACAGGAATACAACCAACTAGTATCCCGTGCACTTGTAAAACTTTATGCAGTAACGAGTACGGTAAAACTTTTAATTAACTGAAACTGAATTGCAATTAACAAAAAAACATTTACATAACTGCCATCTTTTCTTAACTATAAAATCAAAGACTACCCATGCAGTGGGTCAAGAAGGTGGGCATAGGCCAAGTAATCCCCCTCCAAACCCTTTAAACACTTTTTTCATCATTCACTAAGATCATGATAAATAGCTAACTCTGGTAAGAAAAACGACTACAATAGACTTAGAGGATTTAATTTCATTATTATTTGTAAATCCTGTCTTTAAAGTTCATAGCTTTTTTATAGCATCAGCAAATACATGAGTAGCAATGATAGAAAGCAGAGAATATGTACTTTCCAATACAAAACCACGACTTCGGTTTCAGATCCTCATAAACCCTCTTGGTCTACCTCTGCCTCATTTGGCTTCAATTTTCCCAGAGAGAGCTCCAGAGAGAGCTTGATGTTCAAATTTTGCTGGAAAGAGCTTGATGTTCAAATTTTGCTGGAGAGAGCTTGATGTTCAAGTTTTGACACTGAGAGCTAGATGTTCAAATTTTGCTGGAGAGAGCTTGATGTTCAAATTTTGCTGAAGAGAGCTAGATTTTCAAAGACCTTATATTTATTTAAGAGTCCAAGAAACCACATTAGTCTATACCTACTTATTCTTATCAGCGAGCGGCCCACATAGGATTATTCAAGTACGCCCACATTTGATTTCTATGATGACAGAAATTTCTCTTCATCAAACACTAACCTGCATCAGGATGGTGGCATCTCTCAGTCGGTTGTAGCTCTGCCTCTCCAGACAAGTCTTGACCCATCTCTGGATTTTGATTACCCGCTCCATGATCGCCGAGTGGAGTGCTTCATCCAAACGCATCTTTTCAGATTCACGTAAAAAGATCTGAAGTACACAGAAACCATAATTTGTGAAAAGTGCAAAAAAGATATCTTTACTATACACGAGGAAGACACTGCAGCCGCTAAACATATATATGAAGTGATTTACTTAACGTGGAGGTGATGAACTGGTGAAAAAATTCTAAACATTGATAGAGCTGTTTTTGTATTTCGAAAGCAAACAAGTTACTGTACTTTAGAAACTGTAACCACGAGAAAGTGAATGAACTACAGTCAAAATTGTCTACAATGGCCACCCAATGTCAATGAGAAAAGGAGCCATGTTAGACAGGTGGCTGTCTTACACAATGGCATTCTAATTAAAAGTTTAAAAATATGTAAAGTACAAATGAGTGTCTTATACAGGTGGCCATTTGTACAGGTGATTGTCTTATACAGTTGGTCATTTGTATAGGTGATTGTCAGATACGGATGGCCATTTGTACAGGTGATTGTCTGATACAGATGGCCATTTGTACAGGTGATTGTCTTATATAGGTGACCGTTTGTACAGGTGATTGTCTGATACAGATGGCCATTTGTACAGATGAGTGTCTTCTACAGGTGGCCGTATGTACAGGTGATTGTCTGATACAGATGGCCATATGTATAGGTGATTGTCTTATACAGATGGCCGTTGGAGCAGGTTCAAGTATACAGTGATAACAACCAGACCTTGTTGATCCCTATCTGGTAATTCTCCTGCTGGAGCCCCATGGACTGAAGAAAGTTCCGGATGTCAGCTTTAGAGTGTTCCGTCTTGCGGGGCAGCAGAATCTTGTAGAGTTGGGTGAACTCCTGCACCAAAACAAAATTTTTGAAACAATTACGGTCTTTATTACTCTTGTCATGTAAGCAGCAAATGCAAAAAGTGAAATATCTAAATTCTAGTTCTAATGAAAGTTTTACAGCACATGCAACACAATTAGGTCACATAAGTGCAGAAGAATAGAGGTGTTACCACTAGAGAATAAACTGCAAAGAAAAGACCAAAAAGAGATATGGATGACAAACGATGTTTGATAAGAAAGAAGGAGCCAACCACACCAGAGTACCCGCCAACTACCCATGAACTCCATTAGACAGTGCTTACAATCATCAAACCCTCTAAACATCCAAAGATCAAAATGGTTCAGTACAAAATAAACAGATTAAGACAATAGTATCACTGATAAGGTGGAGCAGACCAAATCTCAAGGTACCAGAGTGCCCACCAACCACTTACAATGTCAGTGTGCCCACCAACCACCCACCCACAAAGTCAGAACGCCCACCAACCACCACCCACAAAGTCAGAGTGCCCGCCAACCATCCGCAAAGTTAGAGCGCCCGCCAACCAACCACCCACAAAGTCAGAGCACCCACCAACCACCACCTACAGAGTCAGACCGCCCACCAATAGCCACCCACAAATTCAGAATGCCCGCCAACCACACACCCACAAAGTCAGAGCGCCAACCAACCACCCACACAGTCAGTTTACCTCAAACAGCAGCCTGTAGTTGTAGCCCGACTGGCGGATCTTGACGGTGGCCAACATGCCTGTGTAGCGCAGCTGTCTCATCACAAGCTCCTCGTCAAACACACACGGAGCCTGCAGATATTTTTAAAACCCCATTAATTAGCCCTCGAGAGGATTGAGCTAGCAAAGAACAAAAAAAAAAAAAGAAAAAGTATCCTAAATGCTTGTGTCACAGCGCTGCGGAATCAGACACACGTTCAATTTTGGAGCATTGGGAGTTTCTGGGATCATTGTAAAACTTTTTCATTTGTCTTGATTCTTTCTAAAAAAATTACCCATCTATCTTGGAGTTGAGATATCTGAGACTGAAGAAAGTGGGCGTAGCCTGGTGTCCAAGGTAAATCTAGCAAAAAAAATGGCTGCCAAAGTTTGCTGATTTCCAAAGCTTGGGTGTCCTCAGAAACAGCAAATTTACAAATTTTTTGTGTGCCTGTGATCAGCATTTTTTTCCTCATAAAATCAACACAGAAATGTGTTTTTAAATGGACATGAAAAAAAGGTGTTGCACCAGAAAAAACGCCCCCAAAAAACTAAAACTCATTGAAATATTAAGATTGATCAAATTGATTCATGGTCAGAAAAATGTCAGTTTCATCTGTTTTATTATTTTGACAAATAAGTAATTATCAGACACTTGCAGAAGAATTCTTAACGAAATCGACGGCGTAGGGTTTGACTCCGCTTTGAGCCATTTTGAAAGGTGATGTATGATGGGATCTCACACTGAGCAGTGAAATCCATACAAATATACTGAGTATGTTGTAGCTTGACATTATTATTGTTTATATTACTGTTCATTTATATTATGCATGTGACTGTAAGCCTGCATGTGTGTGCATGTATGTGTGTGTGTGGGGGTGTGTTTGTGTGTGTGTGTGTGG